GACGAGCGATGTGGCGCATGCGTCACCACAAACAGAAACAATGCAACGCACAACCACTAATTTCACGCACCTGCGACGCAGCAGTTTCCCCCTATCCCGTGTAACGCCTGCGCATGGCTTACCGAAAGGGTTGCGTGCCTCCGCTGTGCCTCAGATAACGCCTCGTGCCCGCTCCCGCCTCCCTTTCTCCCAGGGGCGCAGCCCCCCCCCCTTTCCCCCTCCTCACCTCCATCCCCTCCCCCTCCCTCTCTCTCGACCCGTGCCATGTGTCAAGAGCAATTCGCCTCACCATGATAGACCAGCGCGTCCCACCATTGGAGGGGGAAACTCATCTCTTCTCTCCTCCCGCCTCCCACTCCTTGGCGGCGGGCGAGGGCGCGGGCGGGGGGAGTGGAGAGGATCCTCTCTGCTCGGAGCCGAGGGGAGTGGGGGACGTCAGTATTATGTCCGTCACATCATACGGCTCTTACTTCCAATACAGGCCACGACTGAGCCCTCGGAGACTCATCGTCTCTCATCTGCGCGTCACCTCTGCCAGCAGCACTGCTGCCGCCGGTACTTCCAGCCCTTCTCGCCCCACCTGTTGATTGCTGCTGGCTTCTGCCTGTTGACTGCTGCGCGTCAGCGTCACCAGCGTCATCAGCGTCATGGCTTCGCACGGCGTGGCTTTGACGCGGATCTTGGGCCTCCTGCTCGCTGCACTGGCTGCTCTCACGCTCTCCGGTATGCTCTCATGCTCTCCGGTATGCTCTCATGCTCTACGGTATGCTCTCATACTCTCCGGTATGCTCTCATGCTCTCCGATATGCTCTCATGCTCTTGACTCTGCTATCAGGGTTTCCCCCCTTCCCCATTTCCCCCTTTCGCCCTCTTACCCCTTTTTTTCCTTTCCACTTCCGCTCCACGGGTGCCCCCAATACTGCCGTTCGCCTGCCGGCCAGCCACTAGCAACACCTGCTGATGTCATCCACCACCTTCCCTTGAGCCCTCCCCTCCTTCACTTCTCATCCCATTCTCCTTCCATTCTTTCCCTCCGCCCTCCTTCCCCCACCCTGCCTTCCCCCACCCCTCTCCCCCATCCGCTCTCAGCCTGTGCGCCCAGGGCTGCTGCGACTCGCCTGCCGGCTGCAAGCAACGCCGCCCCCAGTAAGCCAGAAGCCTAGATTCCACACCCTTGCCCGTCTCCTTGCCCGTCTCCTTGCCCGTCTCCTTGCCCTCAATCCCTCCAAGGGTATGACGGACTCTCTGTCCACTTTGGTCGTATGCTGAAACGTGCGTATGTTTCTTTGTACATCCACCCACCCACCCCTGGTCCCACTCTTCGTGTCCCACTCTTCGTGTCTCACTCTGCCACGTTCTTTCCACCCCAATTCCTTCCCAGGCTGGTATTGCGGCTCCGTCACACCGTATCTCGCACGGTTAGCAGGCTGTGTTGGTAAGTTTGTTCCACGCGTTTGAGATTTGCTTGTTGGGGAATCAATGCTGTTTGACCCATCGTACTGCCATCTCCCGTTTTCTTAACCCAGCCCATGGGCCTCTCACTTCCTTTCCTCTCCGTTCCTCTCTGTTCTCTGTCCACCAGACCCGTGTGTGCAAAAAAAGTGTGGCGCCAATTCGGTCTGCGTGAAGGGCAGGGGCGATGCCAGCTGTGTCTGCAACGCTGGATTCTCCATGACCCCCACCGGCTGTGTTGGTGAGTGAGTGCCGCTGCTGGCGAGTGCTGCTGGTGGCGAGTCCTGTTAAAGCTTCATCGACTTCAGACCGAGGCTTGTCATGTAAGCGGAAATTTTGCGTCATCTGTTCTTAATCTCCCCTCACTCGCCCAAGTCCCTCCCCATTACCCTCCTTTTCCAGACAAATGCGCACTCAAAGCGTGTGGCAGCAACGGCAAGTGCATCAAGGACAGTGCTGGAGTGGCGTCCTGCGTGTGCAACACTGGCTTCGTGCTGCAGGCTGACAAGAATACATGCACTGGTGCGATGTGCTGACGTGTGATCACGGCAAGACACGCTATGGTTGGTGTGGAGTTGCTGATGTGTGACTAGCGAGAGACATGTAGCTCCCGCTGCCTGCTCTATCCCGAGGCTATTTGTCACTATCACGAAATGCATGCGGTTCCTAACCTCTTTCACCGGTGATAAGACAACATAGTTGCTGACTCAAGAATGCCCTTGCCACTCACAACTCTCCGACTTTCCACCCTTTACACTCATACATGCATGAATACGCTCCCGGTTCGTTCCTTCACTCACTATGGCTTACCCTCTCCACTCACTATGCCTTCTTCCCTTCCCTTGGCAGACACGTGTGTACTCAAGAAGTGCGGTGGTAACGCCAAGTGCGCCAAGAGCGCTGCAAGAGCGGCGTCCTGTGTGTGTGACACTGGCTTCGTGCTGCAGCCTGATGGCATCACATGCACCGGTATGCGCCATGCCATACCCTCTGATGGCATCTCAGAACTGTGTGGGGGCCTGATGGTTTCGTGCTGCACGAGTGGCGTCCTGTGTGTGTGACCCTGGTTTCAGTCTCCTTCCCTCCTTTCCAGTCTTCTCTCCCCCTCTTGCATCCCCCCTCCCTGCCTCATTCCCTCCGTCCACTCCCTCCTCTTCTCCTCCCTCCTTCCCACTCCCATTCTCATCTGTATTTATTTCGTGCCATACTCTTCTAATCACTTCTCTCCATGCCACCTTTCAGATACGTGCGTCATCAAGAACTGTGGTGCCAATGCTGCTTGTGTGAAGGACGCTCAAGGCGTTGCATCCTGTGCTTGCAACACGGGCTTCCAGATGGTGAAAGGCCTTTGTATTGGTACGCATTATCTTCCCAATAAGCTGCGGATCCATTGTCGCTTCGCTCCAACGAGCCATCTGTTCACAGTCAATCTCTCCCTCTCTCCCTCCTCCCTCCTCCCTCCTCCCTCCTTCCCTGCCTCCTTCTCTCCTTCCATCCCCCATTCCCTTCTTTAGTCTCAATCTCCACTTGAACGACGCTGCTTACACCTCCCTCGCTTTGCCTCTTTCCACTCAAAACTTCCCATACTCCTCGTTTGCACATCTCTACTCACACTCCTTGTGTGCACGTCTCTACTCAAACTTCTTTTCATTACTCTCTCCTTGTTCACGTCCCTTCCACACCATGCTTGTCCATTTCCCCACTCCTCATTCCCCTCCCCCGTTGCTCTCCCCCACACAGACACCTGCAAGGTCCAGAGCTGTGGTCTGAACAGCCAGTGCAACAAGGACAGAATTACTGGAGCGGCGTCCTGTGTGTGTGACACTGGCTTTGAACTGCAGGCGGATGGAAGGACGTGCACTGGTAAGTGGCATGCCTTGTGAGATGGATGGGCTATGCCATGAGCTATGCCATGTGCCCTTCCATGTGCCATGCCATGGGTTGTGTCGTCTTGTGCTTCAACGTGCTAAGTATTTGCAAGTGCCATGCTGCTTCACGCCAGTACTTGATGACAGAGACACACTATTTTCGCACTGCTTTTGCTTATCAATTGAGTGCTGCTGTGAATCAAGTGCCTCTCCCTTAGTATTTTCCCTCTCACCCCACTCGTTACCCCCTGCTCTCCACTCGGCCAGACACATGTGTACTCAAGAAGTGTGGCGTCAACGGCAGGTGCATCAAGGACATTGCTGGAGTGGCGTCTTGCGTTTGCAACGTTGGCTTTGCTCTGCAGCCCGACGGTTCCACATGCATTGGTGCGTGCTGCTGTAGCTGTCCAACAAACAAGGTAGATTGCATGTCTCCATGAAGTCTTTCAAGGTGTGCTGTGCTGTGCTGTGCTGTGCAACACAACGTGTGCAAGGGTGTGTGCGTTGACTTTTTCAAATGAATGTATAGTCTCACTAGCGCTCTATTCACATTGCATCTCCCTCTCTCCTTCCCTCCTCTCTTGCATTCCCTTCCCGCCTTCTCTCCTTCCCAACCTCCACTCCCTCCCTCCCTCCCTCCCTCCCTCCCTCCCTCCCCCATCCCATTCTCATCTGTTTTGCTTTCGTGCCATACTTATCTAATCACTTCTCTTTATGCCTCCTCTCAGATACATGCGTCATCAAAAACTGTGGTGCCAATGCTGGTTGTGTGAAGGACGCTCAAGGCGTTGCATCCTGTGTTTGCAACAAGGGCTTCCAAATGGTGCAAGGCACTTGCACTGGTACGCATCATCTTTCGGATCAGTCATTTACTCGTTTCACTTTTGCTCCCACTAGCTCCCTATTCACAGTCTATATCTCCCCCCTTTGCTCCCTCCTTCCCTCCCCCATCCCCTCGAACGTTGCTGCTTACTCCTCCCTCGCTTGGCCTTGATCCCCTCAAACCTCCCCATGCTCCTTGTGTGCACATCTCTACTCACACTCCTCTTCCTTACTCTCTGCTTCTTCACGTCCCTTCAACACCATTCTCGGCCATTTCCTCCACTCCTCACTCCCCTCACCCATCACCCCCCCCACCTAGACAACTGTGTGATCCAGAGCTGTGGTGTGAACAGCCGGTGCATCAAGGACGAAACTACTGGAGCGGCGTCCTGTGTCTGTGACACTGGCTTTGTGCTGCAGGCGGATGGCACGACGTGCACTGGTATGTGATGAAACTGCTGTGTGCTAGTCTATGTGATTCTGTGTGCTACTCTGTGTGCTGTTTTGACGGCTCCTAAATTCATGTCCCCTCCACCCCTCCTCTCCGCTCTTCGTTTCTGCCTCTCCCCCCACGCACATGCCTGTGTGGTCAAGAACTGTGGTGCCAACGGCCAATGCTTTCGTGGTAGTAACGAGGCTTTCTGTGACTGTAACACTGGCTACGTGCTGCAGCCGGATGGCAGGACGTGCACTGGTATGTGCTGAAACTGCTGTGTGCTACTCATGTGATTGTGTGTGCTACTCTGTGTGCTGTTGTGACGGCTCCTAAATTCATGTCCCTTCCACCCCTCCTCTCCGCTCTTCGTTTCTGCCTCTCCCCCCACGCAGATCCCTGTGTGGTCAAGAACTGTGGTGCCAATGGCCAATGCTTTCGTGGTAGTAACGGGGCTTTCTGTGACTGTAACACTGGCTACGTGCTGCAGCCGGATGGCAGAACGTGCACTGGTATGTGCTGAAACTGCTGTGTGCTACTCTGTGTGCTTCTGTGATTGCTTCTTAATTCGTGTCCCCTCTCCCGTCTTTTCTGCCTCTCCCCCCACGCAGATGCCTGTGTGGTCAAGAACTGTAGTGCGAATGGCCAATGTTTCCGCAGTAGTAACGGTGCTTTCTGTGATTGTAACACTGGCTACGTGCTGCAGACGGATGGCATGACGTGCACTGGTATGTGCTGAAACTGCTGTGTGCTACTCAGACATCTGCGAGATTCTGAACCGTGGTGTTCCATGCCATGTGTCGTGCCATGTGCCATGCCTTGTGAGATGCCGTATTGTGCCTGGACATGCTAAGTATTCCAACTGCCATGCTGATGCGCCATGCTGATGCGCCTGTACTTGGTGGCAGAGGCACACCAGTCCTGACTGCTTTTGCTATAAAGTGCTGCTCTGAATCACGTGCTGTGAATCATCCCATTCCCGTACTCTTTTTATTGCTTCTCTCCACGCCTCCTTTCAGATACGTGCGTCGTCAAGAATTGTGGTGCCAATGCTAATTGTGTGAAGGACGCGCAAGGCATTGCATCCTGTGTTTGCAAAACGGGTTTCCAGATAGTGAACGGTATTTGCACTGGTACGCATCATCTTTCCCAATAGATGTTTCCCATCTCTCCTTCCTCCCTCCATCCCTCCTCTCTCCTTCCTTCGCCCATTCCCTCCACCCCTCCACCTCAGTTTCTCCTTGAACATCGTTAATCGATTAATCATCTTTCCATTACCCGTTTAATTGTTTACTTTACTCCCACTAGCCTCTATTCACTGTCCCTCCTTCCTTTCCTCCCTCCTTCCTTCCCCCCCTCCTTCCTTTTCTCCCTCCTTCCTTTCCTCCCTCCTTCGTTCTCTCCCTCCTTCCTTCCCTCCGACTTCCCTCCCTCCTTCCTCCCTTCTTTCCCTACTTCCTTCCCTCCCTTCTTCCCCTCCTCCTTCCCACCATCCTTCCCTCCCTCCTCTCCTTCCTCCTTCCCTCCCTCCTTCCCTCCCTCCTTCCCCCCCTCCTTTGCTTTCTCCGTTGCTCCCTCCATCGCTACCTCTGTTGCTACCTCTGTTGCTACCTCTGTTGCTACCTCTGTTGCTACCTCCGTTGCTCCCTCCTTTTCTCGCTCCGTTGCTCCTTCCTTTGCTCCCTCCTTTGCTCCCTCCTTTGCTCCCTCCTTTGCTTCCTCCTTTGCTCCCTCTTTGCTCCCTCCTTTGCTCCCTCCTTTGCTTCCTCCCTTTGCTCCCTCTTTGCTCCCTCCTTTGCTCCCTCCCTTGCTCCCTCCCTCGTGCGCTCCCTCCCACGCTCCCTCCCTCTTTCCCTCCCTCTCTCCCTCCTTCGCTCCCTCCCTCTTTCCCTCCCTCTCTCCCTCCTTCGCGCCCTCCCTCGCTCCCTCCCTCGCTCTCTCCCTCCCTTGGCCCCTCCATCCCATCCTCATCTGTTTCTATATCATGCCATAAACTTCTAATCGCTTCTCTCCATGCCTCTTTTCAGATACGTGCATCATCAAGAACTATGGTGCCAATACTAATTGTCTGAAGGATGCTCAAGGCGTTGCATCCTGTGTTTGCAACACGGGCTTCCAGATGGTGAATGACATTTGCACTGGTACGCATCAACTTTCACAATAGATGTTTTCCATCTCTCCTTCCTCCCTCCATCCCTCCTCTCTCCTTCCTTCGCCCATTCCCTCCATCTCTCCATCTCAGTTTCTCCTTGAACGTCGCTGATTATTCCTTCCTCGCTTGGCCTCTTTTCCTTCAACCCTTCCCACACTCCTTTGAGTGCACGTCTCTACTCACCCTCCTCTTCATTACACTCTCCTTGTTCACGTCCCTCCTACACCATCCTCGCCCATTTCCTCCACTCCTCACTCCCCTCCCCCATCGCCCCCTCTGCCCAGACAACTGCGCGAGCAAGACCTGTAGTGGCTTCACCTACTGCAGCAAGGACGCCACTACTGGAGCGGCGTCTTGTGTTTGTTACAATGGTTTTGTGATGCAGCCGGATGGCACGTGCAAGAGTACGTGATGAAACTGCTGTCTTCTAGTCTCTGTAATTCTATGCACTATTCTGTGTGCTGCTGTGATTCCTCCTAAATTTATGTCTCCTCTCCTCTCATTTCTGCGTTTCCCCTCCACCCCTCTGCTCTACCCCCTTTTCTCCCTCTCCCCTCCATCCTTCTGCCCACTTTTCTGCATCTCCCTCTTTTCCTCCTCCCCTCCACCCCTCCTCTCCCCTCTTTTCGTCCTCTCCCCTCTTTTCGGCCTCTCCCCTCTCTTCTGCCTCTCCCCTCTCTTCTGCCTCGCCCCTCTTTTCTGCCTCCCCCCCCACACAGCTCTCTGTGAGATCCAGAATTGTGATGCCAACAGCGAGTGTTATATGGTTAATGGTGGGGCTACCTGCTGGTGTAGAAGTGGTTACGTGCTGCAGCCGGATGGCAGGACGTGCATCAGCAGCCAACCTGCAGGTGGGTGATGGTAGCTTGAAGTGCTGCTGTGCTGCCTCTGGCGCGGATGGTGTCACTACTCTAATGTGTTCAATCTTGAACCCCCCTACTCCTCATTTCCCAATATCTCGTGAAAGTATCTTGTCGTTTTAATCTTAAACCCCCCTACCCCTCCTTTTCCAACATCCTTGTAAAGTGTCTTGTTGTCTTCAATCTTGGAACCCCACTTACCCCTCGTTTCACGTCCATTCCACACCTCTCCCCTCTGCGCATCCATTTCTCACGCCTCCTTGTGCATCCCTTTTTTTTTTTTTTTTTTTTTTTTCACTTCTATCTTGGTTTGGTGTGTTGCAGTGTCATTGTCCCACATCTCCCCACCCTTGGTCCCACTATTTGTGTCTTGGTCTGCCACGTTCTTTCACCCCAACTCCTTCACAGTTACGTGTAATCAGTTGAACTGTGCTGTGGGAGCTACGTACTGCGGGATGTCGCCGGCCACAAACAGTCTGGCTTGTCTTTGCTCACCCGGCATCCCGCAGTTCATGATTACTCAGCTCAATTGTGTTGGTAAGTTTCACACGCGTTTGAAGTTTGCTTGTTGAGGAACCAATGCGAATTAACCCATCATTTGCTTGCTTTGTCTCTCTCCCTCTCTCTCCCTCTCCCCCTCTCCCCCCTCTCCCCCTCTCCCCCTCTCTTCCTCCCTCTCCCTCTCTCTCTCTCCCCCTACCTCTCCCTCTCTCCCTCCCTCTCCCTCTCTCTCCCTCCCTCTCCCTCCCTCTCCCTCCCTCTCCCTCCCTCTCCCTCCCTCTCTCTCCCTCTCCCTCCCTCTCCCTCCCTCTCCCTCCCTCTCCCTCCCTCTCCCTCCCTCTCCCTCCCTCTCCCTCCCTCTCCCTCCCTCTCCCTCCCTCTCCCTCCCTCTCCCTCCAACCCCCCCCTCCCCCTCACCCCCCCCCTCCCCCTCCCCCTCCCCCTCCCCCTCCCCCTCTCCCTCCCCCTCTCCCTCCACCTCTCCCTCCATCTCTCCCTCCCCCTCTCCCTCCCCCTCCCCCTCTCCCTCCCCCTCCCCCTCCCCCTCTCCCTCTCCCTCCCCCTCCCCCTCTCCCTCCCCCTCCCCCTCTCCCTCCCCCTCTCCCTCCCCCTCTCCCTCCCCCTCTCCCTCCCCCTCCCCTCCCCCTCTCCCTCTTTCTCCCTCTCTCCCTCCCTCCCCCTCTCCCTCTCTCCCCCTCTCCCCCTCTCCCCCTCTCCCCCTCCCCCTCTCCCCCCCCTCCCCCTCCCCCTCCCGCTCCCCCTCCCGCCCCCCCTCTTCCTCCCTCCCCCTCTTCCTCCCTCCCCCTCTCCCTCTCCCCTCTCTTTCTCCCCGCCCTCACACCCGATTTGTTATGTCCCTTTCAACTGCTCACCTTCCAACAGTGGTCTAGTGGCACTCTTACGTCGCATCCTCAATACTTTGTATGGTGAGTGCCAGCTTGGGGTTAAATCGGAGCTTGCTCTGACCCTTTAATAGATTGGCTTGAGCATCAATTCGTCTCCTCTGATTGTAAGCGTAATCAGTTCCCCTTTAAACCTCCCTCGTTTTGACTTCATTGTTTTTGTGTGATTTTGTTGTAACAGCTGTGTGAAACTTATTTCTGTGATGACGGGAATAAGATCTAGCATGACAGTGAATCCAGGTTTCTCTCACCCTATCCCCAAGAGCTCCGTCGCCATTGATTTTCCACCCCTTCAGATTGTCCCTTGGATCTTCATCCCCTTGTTTGCCTCTCCCCTCAACAGACAAGTTGCTCACAGAATAGCCGTGAGGCACATCCACTCCCGTGATGACCATTCTCATCTCCCCCATGACGGCACACCCTATCGCTCTCGTCCCGGTCCTTGCTCCCATGATGACCATTTCTCATGGCTCCCATGACGGCACATCCACACCCTGTTGATCCCATGACGGCATAGAGCGTTTTCCCATTCGTTTTCTGGTTGCTTTTGGCTGGTTATGGCGTGCGTTGGTTGGCCTATTGTTTGTTTTTCCGTGGGGTACGATCGTAATACAAGAACAAAAGGCAGAGGTTCCTACAGTCCCACTATGTCCTCCTCATATCACATCGACCGCGTCTCGGAAAGCCCTGAAAGCCATGCCCTGCGCACCCACTTCTGTATGTCAGAATCCCAGCCACTAACCACTGGGATAAAAGGGCTTGTTTGTGTAGCGGGTGAGTGCGCCCATAACCCCCCAGGCCGACGTGCTTGTAACCCTTCCCTAGGATCAATCGGGGATCACCAGTGAACCTCTGACACCCCCCTTCGCACTGGGATGCCCGAAGTGCAGACACCGGGATTCGAACCCGGGACCTTCGCTCTGATACCATGTCAGAATCCCAGCCACTAACCACTGGGATAAAAGGGCTTGTTTGTGTAGCGTGTGCGTGCGCCCATAACCCCCCAGGTCGATGTGCCTGTAACCCTTCTATAGGATCAATCGGGGATTACCAGTGGACCTCTGACACTGTGGTATATCTCTACTTGTGATGAGATCCAACGCTTTTGTGAGTCTGCCTACGGATTACCAGCTGAAAGAGGATCCCAAATGTCAGAGCAATAAAAAGTGAGCAGAAATGGGCAAGCGAGGTCAAGGAGAGGTAGATGAGGGGTTATGAGGTACATCACAAAAATGTGTGTGTCTGAAAATCATTCGACCATAAATTATTTTGGCAAGAACTTAAAAAACGTTTGACAATCATTCTGTAATCATCTAACTATCATTTGTATAGCATTTTTGTCAGACCAGATGTTATACCGATGTTTTAGTAATGGTTTACCAATGTTTCAATGGTTTGTTTGTCAGATGATGCTTCCCTAAACAGTAATAAAGGTTTCATAAATGTGTATATCACAATAAATCTATGTTATGTTTATCGACATATTAGCAATTTACCAGATGAACCTATTGAGCAGCTTCACATCGGGGTCCTTGCAGCACGGGCCAACATGCACGATGCTAAGAATGCAATCTGCATCAACGACTGCATAGTTGTAGGTCCCCTTCATGGGCAACAGTCATTTGCAGCCAGTGTACCGGCAGAGACGCCGATCCTCCGTGTAGTACTCTACGTATGCCATCTTTTACGTAATGGAACAGCATCAAACAACGGCCGTACCAGTTTGCCCCTTTGCCAGCTGGGTTAATGGCTACATCTGAAAAGTGCTTTTCAGATGGGCTTGCTTTGACAAACTGCCCCTTCTCGGTCCACTCCATCCTGTCGTGCGGTGGGATTGCCATGGCAGTGTGCACCTGCATACAGGCAAGCATGGAACGCAGCTCAACAATGGAAGGTTGTGTTAGGGTTTTCAGGGATGGGGTGCTGACGCGTGCGTTGATACATCAGGTTGTCATGCCTGAGTTTGGCCCATTACAACTGGTCTAAGGCTGCCCGCGCTTAACAGGACCCCATGGGAGTGGCATGTTTGCGTAGCAGTGAGCACTGTATTGCTTCTCACATTGAGCACTTGGTCGCGGATTCCCTCCATGGCCAGCCGCTTCTTCAAGCAGCCCATCGCTGCATCTCCGTGAACAAGGACGTAGCTCCTGAACACATCATCGGTGATATGCCCCACGGTCATCTTCTTGTGTGTCTTAGTCAGCACCCGTCGCCCAAGCGTGCAAGCCTGGGTGGGAGGGTGATGGATGCATGGTTTACAAGGGGGGCAGCAGAGTTTAGACAGCACTTGAGTACAATGGGGGCAGCAGTAACAGGGAGCAGGGATTAGGGACAAATAGGAAAGCATAGGGGGGCAATACGAGAGGTCAAAGGGGGCAGCTAGAGGAGGGAGCATAGGTGGACAAGTGGAGAGCAGGGGGGGGCAGAACGAAAGACAAAGAAGGGCAGGAGGGTTCAGGAAGGGTCATGGATGGGGAAATGGGGTAGCAATGGGGGGAAGAAGAGGAGGCAACGTGTTTAGCTGGACGAAGGTTTATGGGTGGACTAGTTGGGGAGCATGGGGTTGCACATCGGGATGTCAAGGGGGGGCAGCGGGTGAGAGGTTCATGCGTGGACAAGATGGGGAGCATGTGTGGGCAGAACGGGATGTCAAGGGTTTAGAGTAGCAAGAGGATGGACCAGCGGGGCTCAACAGGAGATGCAGGGAAGGGCAAAACAGGAGGTCATGTAGGCTAGCATGCGGATGGAAAAGGGGGGACCAGTGGTGGCACATAGATTGGTTTTAGGGTGTACACATGCTCACCTCCTTCATGGCTGTCTCGTAGGTTTTGTCCCCGCCGGCAGCCCGAGACAGCTGTCGAACAACGGCTTGCTCGACATGCTCCTATGGCAATCCGCGTGCGCGGATCGTGGGTGGTAGGTGCGATACAAGATGTACCTTCACAATATACCACTTCGACTTCTGGTTGTCGAACGCTAGAACAAGCGCATCGACCATACTGGAGGGGAGGGTTGAAGGGTGGATCGGAAGAAACGGGGGTGTGGCATTGTAGTGGTGGGGAGGGGTTTAGCGTGAGCAATCGCATCAACTACAACTCTGCAATGAACATCACCCATTGCCCCATACCCTCTCTCATCCCCTCCTCCTCTCTTTTATACCAGCTCCCCCCCCCCCCCCTCTCATACCCTTACCCCCCCGTCCCATCTCCTCCTCCCCTCTTACTGCCCCTCCATTCCCTCTCTCTGTGCCCCTCCTCTCTTCTCTATGCCCGTATTTCCCTCTCAGCCCCTCTTTCACTATCTCAGCCCCCCCTTTCCCTCTCTCGGCCCTTCTTTCCCTATCTCTGCCACTTTTTCCCTCTCTTTGGCTCTCTTTCCCTCTCTCTGCCTCTCCTTCCCTCTATTTGCCTCTCCTTCCCTCTCTTTGCCTCTCTTTCCCTCTCTCTGCCTCTGCTTCCCTCTCTTTGCCTCTCTTTCCCACTCTCTGCCTCTCCTTCCCTCTCTTTGCCTCTCTTTCCCACTCTCTGCCTCTCCTTCCCTCTCGTTGCCTCTCTTTCCCTCTCTTTGCCTCTCTTGGCCGATTCGTGCGCAAGGCACCCACATCCAATCACACTAAACTTACTCGCAGGAGACCTACTCCATGCGCTCGAGCGATTCATCAGTGTGTTACTCGGCCCGGATGAACTCCTTGTACCAGTCCGACATGAGCACGATGGCATGTCGAATGTCGGCGCGCTTGGGGAGGTCGATGATGAGGGGCAGCACTTGCATCATGGCACGGTGCTCTGACGCCGAGAAGCAGGCCGTCGTGGTGAAGTATGCCCATGCGGATGGGAGCCTCAGCAAGGATGCAGGAGTCACTGCCTTTATCATCTTGTAGCGTCTGCCAAGGGATGCAATTACGGAGACAGTTTGGGGTTTGTGGAGGGAGGGGGGGGGGGGGGGGGGGGGGGGGGGGTTTGAGGGGGTGGGGAGGAGGGGAGGGATAGAGGGGGGATGGGGAGCCAGGAGGGCAGACGCAGTAGGGGGCACGGCTGTAGGGTTCAACAGTGCAGCTGGCTCCTGCAGGGCAGACCCCACACGAGGCAGGCCCTGTGATGGTGGTGAGAATGAGGGGAGCATACAGGATAAGACAGCAGCTGGTGTGTGCAGGATGGGGCGCCGCCAAAAACAACAGCACATGCATGTTAGGCTGGGGACATGCAGAGCGGGTGGGCGCCTGCTGAGCCAAACTGAGCAGCCTCACTACCATCTAGCTTGCAACAGGAAGCAGCTGGCCCGAGCCTAAAAGGGCCCAGGACGAGCCTTGTGGCTTGACAGTCTGTCTTGTGGCCCGTCCCTGCTGACAAGCCGGTGTGGCTAGCAGGCCGGCTGCTTTGTCTTGGGCGACTTTCAATCTGGTTAACACGCAACGCGTGAGACCCCAAACCCATGAAAGGCGTGTAGTGTGAACCATACGACACAGCTATTAATAGAGTAGATTCCCACAGCAAGGAACCAAAAACACTACCACCCTACCAGAGGAGTGGTACAAAAGGTGAGTTCAAATAGGCATGAGCAATTGTACAAACCTCAGTACAAAAGGCTTAAATAAAATAACAGACTTAGTCATGAGCAACTGGTGGAACCCTGATTTGGATGGCCCGACTTTTGAGGCGCCTCAAACCCTGATTCGGCCCAGCTGGCCGGTCAAGGCCTTGTCTTTTTCCAGTGGGCATGTGGTGTTTAGGGCAGTCAAGCATACCCATACACGTGCCCCAATAGTTCTGGTAGCCGGTTTTGCAAACACAAGAGGCCGCGCCTGCAGCGTCCTTCACGCAATCCGTGTTGTAGGTGTTGCAGCTCAAGATGGCACAGGAGTCTGTAGGCGGGACAGATGGCGAGAATGAAATGGTTGCTAAGAGCCCTCATCCAAGTAGTCTAGTTTCAAAATGTGCTGGTTCACGGCAGTGGATATGTCTTGGTGTGGTTGACTGATGACACGCGCAGGTGTTTTAAGGAAGGGACGAACAGCATTACACCTTGTCGAGCAAAGCAAGCACTTACCCTGGAACACATTGGTGAGGGAGTGAGTGAGATGAGAGTGGGGGGGTGTGGGGGGAGGGGGGGGGGGGGAGGGATACAGGGGTATACGCAGTGTGCGTGCGTACGTGCATGCATGCGTGCGTGTGTGTGTGTGTGTGTGTGTGTGTGTGTGTTTGTGAACACACAGCAGCACATACCAGTGCACGTCCTGCAGCACGAAGCCAGTGTTACACACACATACCAGTGGTGCTGTTTAAGGTGCATGTGCCGTTCCCACCACATGCCTTGAGTGCGCATGTGTCTGGGATGGGAGAGAGTGAGGAAACAGTGCATGTGAACAGAGCTGGATTTTAGAAACCTCAAAATCAGTGAGGAAACGGTACATGTGACAATAAAGGAAATGCCTCAAAAGAAGAGAAAGGAAGACTTTGTCACTAATATCAGCAGGAAAAGCCATCAGCATGCACAAGATTCATCACAGCAGCAGCACAGCACGTACCAGTGCATGTACTGCCGTCAGCCTGAAGAACAAGACCAGCGCTACAAACACAGGAGGCCACTCCAGCACTGTCCCTGGTGCACGTGGCGTTGGCTCCACACGCCTTGAGTGCACACGTGTCTGCAACGAACATGGGGCGCGAGGCGAGAGGCATGGGGTGAGAAGCGGGGGCAAAGGGCAAAGGGCGATGGGCGAAGGGTGAGGGGCAAGGGGAGAGGCAAGAGGCGAGAGGCAAGAGGCGAGAGGCAAGAGGCGAGAGGCAAGAGGCAAGACACAAGAGGGAGGGATGGGTAAGGGGGGAGGGTGGTGGGGGGGTAAAGCAAGTGCACTGTCAACATGATGGGATGGACACGTAGATGACAGTGCATGACAAGTGTAGCGTGTGTGTGACTCGACCATTGATTACATGCAGGCTTGGCACATAGCAGCGCAGCACATACCAGTACATGTTTTGCCGTCAGCTTGAAGGAGAAAGCCCACGTCGCAAGCACAAGAGGCCACTCCAGTGCTGTCCTTGGTGCACATGCCATTGCCACCACAAGCCTTGAGTGCACATGTTTCTGGGGGCGAGAGGAGTAGGGAAGTTGAGATTTCACATCGCAGTTCATGGCATAGTACACGGCATAGGACATTCCAAACCACATGGCATAGTAAAGGCATAGCACATGCTGCGTGACATAGCACATGGTGCATGCCATAGCACATGCTGCATGACATAGCACATGGTGCCTGGCACAGCACATGCTGCCTGGCACAGCACATACCAGTGCATGTCCTGCCGTCGGTTTGAAGAACAAAGCCAGCGTCACAAACACAGGAGCCCAATCCAGCGCTGTCCTTGGTGCACGTGGCGTTGCCTCCACATCTCTTGAGCACACATGTGTCTGGGGCGAGGGGACCAGGGCGGTTGAGATTCCATGTTGTAGCACACCACATGCCAGCCCACATAACATAGCACATGGCATATGGCATAGCACATCTAATATGGCATAGCACATGGCATAGCACATGGCATGTGGCATAGCACATGGAATATGGCATAGCACATGGCATATGGCATAGGACATGGGACGGCATGGCACATGGCATAGCACATGCCAACCCACATGGCATAGCACATGGAAAAGCGCATGCGGGCCCACATGGCACAGCGCAAGGCAGTGGCATGCCGCATGGCAAAGCACATGGCATAGCGCATGCCACAACACAGGGCATACAAGCAGACGGCATGGCACAGAGATACTTGCCATGTCTATTGCTCATGCCGAACATGGCATTGCACAATTTCACAGAATTTACCGGTGTATGTGGTGCCATCGGGCTGCAGCACGAAGCCAGAGTCACAAACACAGGACGCCACTCTTGCAGCGCTCTTGACACACGTGCTGTTGCCACCACACTTCTTGAGCACACATGTGTCTGCTGAGGCGAAGAGCCACAAGGAACAGTCAATGGGAAGGGCAACACGTGTAGGAAAAGAAACAGGGAGTTGTCAGGCATGTGTAAGTGAAGAGGGAGAGATAGAGGGAACAAGGTGGGTATGACGCGAAGCAGCGGCATGTGTAAGGAGAACAGTACACAGTAGCACGTAATACATACCGGTGCATGTCGTGCCGTCATTTTGAAGAACAAAGCCCACGTCACAAACACAGGAGGCCACTCCGGCGCTGTCCTTGGTGCACGTGGCATTGCCACCACACCTCTTGAGCACACATGTGTCTGCCAGTGCAAAGACCCACAAGAAAAAGTCAATGGGAAGGGCAGCATGTGCAGGAAGAGAACACTGAGTTATGGGGAATGTGTGTGTGAAGGGGGAGAGGAGGATTGTAGAAGTGACGGGTAGCAGGAGCTTGTATAGGCAGAGAGATAAGCACACGCGCAGCAGTACGTACCAGTGCATGTCCTATTGTCAGTTTTAAGAACAAAGCCCACGTCACAAACACAGGAGGCCACTCCAGCATTGTCCAGCCTGGCTGCTGACACTGGGTAATCTACTCACTGCCCGAAATGATCGGAGTGCCTTGAATACCAGGCTCCTGAGAACTACGTGAATACATCTGGGGTTCTGTCATGACCATGGGAACGCCTCGCAAGGGTCTCCATGTATCGTCTGCGGATTTACACGAGGAATAACCCCAATTTTCCTACATGTCTAGGCCAGGGCGCTATACTCAGGTGCTAGCCTTGACACCATGTTCTAAGGCTCACATGTATGTAGAAACACTGGTCTACCCAACCCCACAGAAGCTCTCACCGCCAGCGCTAACCCCTCAACAGCAGTCAACCCGACAGCAGCACTCAACTTCACCAACAGCACAGCGGCACGCACCGACACAGCCTTTAGGGGTCATGGCGAATCCAAGGTTGCAGATGCAGGTGGCGTTGCCCCTCTCCTTCACGCACACCGCATTGGCGCCACACTTCCTTATCACACACGAGTCTGCCGGGTTATTTCATGAAGGAAGAAAGAGGAAGAGAGGAACCGAGAGGAAATGAACCAAGAGGGTGGGAAGTGGGGGAAGGCGGGGGTGGGAGGGGGGGGAGGGGGTTAGGTATTGCCCATACTTGGACGGATGGGTGTTGGAAGGATTACTAAAGTTCCTCTCCTTCACGCACGCCGCATTGGCACCACGGTTCCTTATCACACACGAGTCTGCCGGGTTATTTCATGAAGTAAGAGTGAGGAAGAGAGGAACCGAGAGGAAATGAATTGAAATGAAATGTGGGTGGGAAGTGAGGGAAGGCGGGGTTGGGTGGGGGGGGAGGGGGCTAGGTATTGCCCATACTTGGACGGATAGGGTGTTGGAAGGATTACTACAGTTCCTCTGCTTCATGCTGACCGCATTGGTGCCACGGTTCCTTTTCACGCATGAGCCTGCCGGGTTATTTTATGAAGGACAAGAGAGGACGAGAACAGCGAGAGGAAAGAAACTGAGAGGAAAGGAACATAGTGGAGGAGAAAGGCATAAAGGAAAGTAGGCGAGAAGAGGAAAATGGAGGAGCGAAATAGCTAGGTGATAGTATGGGGCATAAAGAGATGGAGTGGCAGAGTGCAAAAAGTGCGGAAGTGGTCCGCATCACTCCCTAATAGCTTCCTAGGCAAGACCAGAGAAACTTCCGAGTGTGACCAAAGAAAAGGAAGGGGGGGTGGGGAGGGGAGGAGAGAGGGGGGGAGAAGAGGAGGAGGGAGGGGGGGCGAAGGGGGGGATAGGCCGCCACTAGGAGTGGCGAGCGTCATTTAATTTGAGGGTAGAGGGCAAGGAGACAGATGGGCAGCGCAAGGGTTCTAATCAGCCCCCCTAGCTATTGATTGCTGACTTACAATTTGCGGCTTCACTCGTAGCTGGTGGGCTGGCAGCGGCAGCAGCCCTGGGAGTACAGGCTATGAGCGGGTGGGGGGAAGAACGGGAGGAGGGAGAATGGGGTGACGAGGGAAGAAGGCATAGCTGAACAAGGGAGGCAAATGGCAGCAGCGGATGTTACTCGTAGCTGGGAAAGGCAGCCCTGGCGCACGGGGCCAGGGAACAGGGGAAAGTGGGAACGGGGAATAGGGGGAATACAGCAGGGAGTAGGGGGGCGGGGGAAAGGCGGGATAGGGGAAAGGTGGGACAGGGAAAGGGGGGAACAGGGAAAAGGAGGAACAGGGGAAAAGGGGAACAGGGGAAAGGGGGAACGGGGGAAAAGGGGAACAGGGGAAAAGAGGACAAGGAAAATGGGGGACATGGAAAACGGGGAACAGGGGAAAAGGGGAACAGGAAAAAATGGGGGACAGGAAAAAAAGGGGACAGGGAAAAGGGGGAACAGGGAAAGGGGGGGATAGGGAAAAGGGGGGACAGGGAAAGAGGGGAACAGGGAAAAGGGCGAACAGGGAAAAAAGGGGTAGGGAAAAGAGGGAACAGGAAAAAGGGGGGACAAGGAAACAGGGGGACAGGGAAAAAGGGGTCAGGGAAAAAGGGGGGGCAGGGAAAAGGGGGAACAGGGAAAACGGGTAACATCTAACATGGGGAACAGGGAAAATGGCAGACAAGGAAACAAGGGGAAAGAGAAAAAAGGGGAGCAGGGAAAAAGGGGGAAAAAGGAGGAACAGGGAAAAGGGGGGAAAAGGAGGAAAATGGGGAGCAGGGAAAATGGGGAACAAGGAAAATGGGGAACATGGAAAAGAGGGAACGGGGAAAGGGGGAACAGGGAAAAGGGGGAACAGGGAAAAGGGGGGACAGGGAAACAGGGAGACAGGGAAAAAAAGGAGCAGGGAAAAAAGGGGAACAGGGAAATGGGGAAAGGGGAAAATGGGGGAAACAGGGGAAAAGGGGAACGGAAAAAAGGGGGAAAGGGAGGGACGGGAATCATTCACAAAGGCAAAAAAGGGCGGCGGGAGAGAACGGAGAAAGACCACCAAAATGTACAGTCCTAAGTCCGTCCTGGATCTGTCTTGAAAGTTACGTCGATGACCAAGACTGCGGGCACAACCTATAAGTGCATTTTAGGACGTAGTGCAGCCAGTGCAGCGAGCACGAGGCCAGAGAGCCGCTTTACAGCCATGAGCACGGAGGCGCTGCTGATGTCGAAATTAGTGACTATTACGCGTCGGCGGGCAGTATGGCCCGTTAAACTAAGGCTCTGTCACTACTGAGAACTTCTGTCACGGAAAAAGGAGTTTTGCGACCAAGATATCTGGCTTCTGTATTCAGAGAAACATATTGTTGTGACAGTGGAAGACCAGAAAGGAAATCAGTCAAGGTGTTACAGGGCGAAGGCGAACTCGCCACAGGAAAGTTCGCTCACTAGCGAACTTGTAACTTTCGCCAAAAACCCAACCTGAAATGTGAAATTCAAGGTTGGAAATCCCAACCTGAAATGTGCGCTTCGAGATTCCTCAAAGCACACGTGAAACTCCAACCAGCAAAGCAGCAGAGAGAAGAAACCAGAGAAGCATTACGACAACAAGGCAAGAAGACAACGCATGCAAAGGCAACTACCTTCCAGCATTACAAGACCCAAGCATTATTATCATGAAGACGAAGACCAAGTCAGCTAGTACCTTTCTAGATCTATCTCATGATTGTATTTTGTATGTTTCTATATAAACAGCTAGGATAGGGCATAGGCCTGTCATCATTGCTTGTACATATTCCGTACCTTGCTGGAGACAGCACAGATAGGATCAATGGCAACCTGAACAACCTTCTTAAGGCGCCATAGTCATAGAAGTGTGTATAAGAGTAGCTGTTCATCCCTTGTATGCCATTCTTGCTTTCTGAAATTTACAGAGTTTATGCTACCAATTTTACCTGACTACTTTAGACTCTCAAGCTTTAGGTTTCAGCCAGTTGTGAGCCGATGGCTGTTCCTTGTCGAGCAGTACTTGCTGTTGAGCCACGTTGCACCTGCTGAGTGGGCATCATTCACGAGGACGCTTCTTCGAGGTTCCACGATTACTTGGTGGCAGTCCATCCACACCTCTGTTCAGTCATGGGAGCAGTTTAAGCAACTCTTCACGGCTGCTTTTCAACCAGTGAACCCGGAACTCAAAGCTCGTGATCACTTGGCTGCCCTCAAGCAACTCAAATCCGTCCAAGAGTACGCGGCGCACTTCCGTGATGTTGCACAAGAGATATCTGACCTGTCCACTGCTGAAAAAATGGATCGCTTCAAGCGCGGCCTGAAATCCAACGTCCGCATGGAGGTCGAGGTAAGGGACTGCACTACGCTCGAGGAAATGATACGTGTCGCTGAACGGTATGACTCTGTTCATTTCGCATACAAGGCACAATTTCCTCGCAGCCCATTTCTCCCTTTTGCTCCCTCCCATCAGCCATCATCCTCAGCAACATTCAACCAGAAAGAACCTGCTCCTATGGACCTGGATGTGATGGAGAAAGGCAAGAAACCTGTGAAGAACGATGTCGTCTGCTTCAAGTGTGGCAAGAAAGGCCATGTGTGGAGGTTCTGCCACGAACCCTCCAGCCGACCACCGTTGTTTCCAACACCAAAAAACAGTCACCGCCAGTAAGCTTGGGGCGACTTTCTGGCAACCTGCAGAGCCCTTCCATCATCTCTCTTGAAAACACCATCCCATCGAACCCTCTTCTCCTTTCCATAAGCATACGGAACCGTACCTTCAAGGCCCTAATTGATAGTGGAGCTTCTTCCAATTTCATCTCATCAAACCTTGTCTCTGAACTATCTCTTCCTATCCAGCAAGATTCCCAATCCCAAACAGTGCAGATGGCGAACGGAGCTTCTATCATGTGTGGCCCAACCACCTTCCCAATCAGCTGCAACATGGGCTCATACAAAAACAAGCTCCAGTTCCAGCAAGTACCTTTGGGAGAGCACCATCTAATCCTCGGCCGTGATTGGCTTTCATCCAAGAACCCACTTATTGATTGGACTGCTGGAACAGTAACCATCGTGCACAGTGGAGCTGAAATCACTCTTCCTATCATCTCTTCCTCCCCTTCCTCACCCAGCTGCAGTGTGATCTCTGTGAGACAGCTGAAGAAGCTTTCCAAAGACCCTCAGGCTCAATTCTTCGTTTGCTTGCTGCAACAAACCTCAAAAGCACCTTCAGCCCCTTCTTCTCCTAATCCTAATCCTCCTGCAGAAATTCAGAAAGTCCTCACTGATTTTCAAGATGTGTTTCCTTCAGACCTCCCAGCAGGACTTCCTCCCAAGCGCTCAGTGGATCACCGGATCGTGCTACAACCTGGATCTGAACCTCCTGTTCGTGCTACCTACTGCATGAGCGCTGCTGAACTGAAGGAAGTCCAAGCTCAACTGGAGGAACTCCTTGAAAAAGGCTTCATTCGTGTCAGCTCTTCCCCCTATGCAGCCCCCATTCTCTTCGTGAAAAAGAAAGATGGATCCCTTCGCATGTGTATAGATTGCTGCGCCCTCAACAAACTCACCATCAGAAAACCGATACCCGCTGCCGCGAGTGGACGAACTCTTTGAGCTTCTCGGCGAGGCCAAATTTTTCAGCAAGCTTGACCTTCGAAGCGGTTACCATCAGGTTCGCGTCGCTGAAAAAGACATCGAGAAAACAGCATTCCGAACCTGGTATGGGCATTTTTTATTCCTTGTACTTCCCTTTGGACTCACAAATGTCCCTGCCACCTTCATGTGCTTGATGCACAACATCTTTCGTGACTTCCTTGATCGGTTTGTCACTGTTTTCATTGATGACATTCTGATTTTCAGCAAGTCATTGAAAGAACACTCTGAGCACCTACGCCAGGTACTCACGAAGCTTCGCGAACACCGGCTTTTTGCAAAAGAGAGCAAGTGTGAGTTCGCAAAATCCTCCATCCCTTTCCTGGGTCATATCATCTCTCATAATCAGCTTGCTATGGACCCCACCAAGATTCAGGTCGTTGAAAACTGGAAGCAACCCACCTGCATCAAGGACCTTCAAGCCTTCCTTGGCCTTGCCAACTACTACAGAAAATTCATCAACCATTTTGCTGCCATCACCTCACCCCTCTCTAACCTTCTTCGCAAGCAGCAGCCTTTTCATTGGGGACCTGAACAGGAAGAAGCCTTCACCACCATAAAACATGCTCTTACCTCTTCTCCCACCCTAGTCCTACCCGACCCCTCCCTTCCTTATGTCATCTGAACAGATGCATCTCAAGTTGCTACAGGTGCTATCTTGTGTCAAGACCAAGGACATGACCTTCAGCCCATCGCCTTTGACTCACGGAAGCTGAAACCAGCCGAGTGCAACTACGCTACTCATGACCGAGAAGCGCTGGCCATTGTCAATGCTATCAAGAAATGGCGCTGCTACGTTCACATGCAGCTGGTAACGGTCTTGACGGACCATTGCACTCTGCAGCACTTGAAGACGCAGCCTCATCTCACACCACGGCACGCAAGATGGATGGAATTCCTTGAGCAGTACATTCCAGAGCTGAAAATTGAGTATCGTGCTGGCCGTACAAAGCCTGCCGATGTTCTCTCTCGTCCCCCAACCTCTCAGCCTGCTGTGATCGGCAGCGTGACATGGGACCCAGACTTCACCAAGAAAGTTTCCAAGGGATACAGCCATGATAACTTTTACCTCCATTCTGCCCCTTCCGACAAAGCATACTATTATGACCCTCCCTTCTGGTACAAAGCAGATTCTCACGCTATCTGCATCCCCTCTGACCGTAAACTGTCTCCTTCTCCTACGCGAGCATCACGACCAGAATTCACACTTCGGAGTGGACAAAACCGTGGCTGCAATCACATCAAACTTTTTCTGGGCTAACATCTACCGTGATGTCCGCTCCTATGTGCGCAGCTGCCATACCTGTCAGTGCAACAAAGCTCGCAATTCCCCTCCCTATGACCTCCTACATCCCCTGGAAATTCCAGAGACACCATGGAGCCATGTCACCCTTGATTTCATCACTGATTTACCCCCCACTGCTGCCCATCACAACGCCATTCTCACTGTAGTTGACAAACTCACAATGATGGCCCATTTCATTCCCACTTCCACCACTGCCACTGCCCAAGACGTTGCTGAACGCTTCTTCACAGAAATAGTACGTCTGCACGGTATTCCCTCTGTCCTTATCTTCGACCGTGACTCCCGTTTCGTTGGCAGATTCTGGCAGACCCTTTTCAACAGGATGGGTACCAAGATTCGCCTCTCAACTGCCTACCACCCTCAGTCTGATGGGCAGACCGAGAGAATGAATCGAACTCTGGAAGATGTCTTGCGTGCATGTGTCAATGCTCGCCAGAATGATTGGGACACCCACCTGCCAGAAATCGAGTTCTCCTGCAACAGCACCGTTAACCTTGCTACTGGACAGACCCCGTTTTACCTAGCTACTGGACAGAACCCTCGCACTCCTACCTCACTGGTTCACAGCCCCAAACGTGATACTGCAGCAACGGCATTTCTGAAGGACAGAGAAAAAGCCATAGCAGCAGCACGTACCTCACTCTCCAAGGCACAGCAGCGCATGATTCACTATGCGGACCAGCACCGACGTGACAT